TATATGTGATACAGATACTGAAGATGAAGATGATAAATCCAGAAGAATAAAAAATTTGCAAAGAAAATTGTCATTTAGTGATGATGAAAGTTCTAGCACGAGCGAATTTGATCCTGGAGATTATGTACCACCGAAACACGTACGTGATAAAGGTACGGGATGCATGATAAAATTTGTTTAAATTGAAAATGAAAATTAATCTTAAGAGGGCATATACACTTAGCATCAAAATGAGGTCTAATTTTGCGAATTTTTTTGTGAAAAAATTGATAGAGATAGAGAAATCGGGTTTGTTCCATTGTAAAGGTGACACTTTTCTTTATTAAAATTTTATTTAAAAATAATATAAAATGGAGTTGCTATTAAAATTTTCGTACGTCATGTTTTATAAAACGGGATTTGCGGTGACCATTGCTACTCGCACAAGACGCGTCTAAAAGCAAAATGAAACAAGTTTTATAAAAATGAAAGATCTTATGCTTGACGTAGCCGTTTTTTAAAATATTGCGTTTGGATAAAATGATAGCTGGTCAAAGTTAACATAACGATTTTTCACAAAAAAGTTCTCTCATTTTCGGCTACGGAAAAAAAACTAAGCATCGTAGGAAAAAATCCTATTTCAAAAACTAGTTTTTAGCATGTAGAAAAAGTGTATAAAATCGATCGGTCGAGCCGTCTTACAGTGGTCATGTGTTTTGAAAACTACGTTTTGAGTTTTACAATACATTCGGTTTATACTTTTCGTTGCTAACGTTTCAAATTTTTCAATTGCTCGTCCAGACAAGACTGTTACACAATCAACCGTCCGTATTTTTAAATTCAGCTCTGAGGCTTGCTATTGATAAATACAATGAATAGAGCAAGACCCTTCTTTGACTTGCGCGAACTTGAATCGTCCTGTCGCAGGCACGCTTAACTGTCGTTTTCAACGCGCTCAAACTTACTCGTCTATTTTGTGTAACGGAACAACTCCGCTATTTTTCTGGATTTTTCTTTATTTATGCCGGATTAATTTATAACTTTATAAAAACGTTGCTAAGACATTATACTTTAAAAATATGTAAAAAGAATCGATTTTTTCATCATCTCTAAGTGTATATGCCCCCTTATGGCTCCTCAGTAGTTATCACAGTCATATTGAATCGTGACGTCAGAAGCGAGAAATAGCACATTAATTTTTATTATGTGTCATTTATAAATAAAAATAATTTAGATAAAATGAAATGATGAGATCGCTTTAAAACAATTGTAAAAATAGATGAAAACTATCCTTATCCCCACTGACAGTCAATAAATAATCGTAAAAAGTGATAAAAGGCACGTTATCATTTTGTTTTATCCGAATTGTCTTTATTTACAAATGACACATAACAAAAATTAACGTATCATTTTTTGCTTCTGACGTCACGATTCAATATGGTGATGACTACTTAAGAGCCTTAAAATGAAATATTATTAGTAACAAAGTCTGTATACAATAATTTTATAATATATAATTTTTAGAAGTTGCCAAAAAACAAATACCATCCAAAGTAACACCTAAATTTGAATCAACTGTGAATAAATCTATATCAGGATACAAAACCTTTCTAGCATCTTTATCAAATATGATTCCAATGTATGAAGCTCATACGGATGCAAAAAAATATAGACTGGATTATAAAAATAATAAAGAAGAATTATGTAAAAAATTGTATCAACTATATAACGAGAAAGTGTTTGATAATAAGTTACCTCAAGATATGTCGATTGAATGGAATGTTCGTATGAGAGGAACTGCTGGATATTGTTATAACAAAAAGTCTATGAAAGGTATTAGTGGTACTATTATTAAATCTTCAAGGATTGTATTAGCAACAAAGGTATGCTCTTTTTTTGTTTCTTTTTCTCAGTTTTATATGTATGTTCAAATACAATCAAATCATACTGAAACAAATTATTCTAGATTTTAGACACGCCAGATAGACTAAGAGATACTTTGATCCATGAAATGTGTCATGCTGCTTGCTGGATAATAGATAATGTCTCAGATGGTCATGGAGTTTTTTGGACAAGATGGTAGGTTATGATGCAGTATTATCAGACACCCTCTGTATACACACACACACACACACACACACACACACACATTTTTATTTTACTACAAAATTCTATGTAATGAACGCGCATTTATAGTAATTATTTTACAGAATTTTATATGATTTATTTTATATTATAGGGCTAATAAAGCAATAAAGACGTTTCCTGAATTGCCACCAATTCGCCGATGTCATAATTACGAAATTAAAACTAAATATACGTACAAATGCACAAATTGCGGATACAGGTATTGGATTAATTGTATGAAAATTGATTTTATTCTTTGTTATATTTCTGAAAGTTATATCTTTATTTTGTTGTGCAGTATTGGAAGGCATTCAAAATCCTTGGATATCGAGAAAAAGCGATGTGGCTATTGTTATGGAAAATTTGAATTGTTAATTAACAAAATAACGAAATCTGGTACCGTGCAAGTGCAGACACCGAAGAGAGAACCCACTGGTTTCGCACTTTATGTAAAGCAGAATTATAACTCAGTGAAAAAGGAGAAAAGCAATATGAAGCACGCTGACGTAATGAAGCTTTTAGGTCAGCAATTTTCAGCAATTAAAATAGCAAAGAAAAATGACGTAGCTAGCAATTAAAAATGACGCCTAGCTAAACATCAAATTTGTATAATTCAAATATTTATAAGCGATTTTTAAAATCCCGTATAATTTTTAATCAGTATGTAATAATTTTAGAGCAGGTTTTGAAGCTGATAATTGTATGTATTTAGATTTCAGATTTCTGCATATTTTATTATTTAAATCATAAATACATGCAGTTATAGTATAAATATTATAATATTTTGGAAGACTGATACTTTTTTTACTATTACAGGCATTGCAATGTGAGATATTTTGTAGATTTCACATGTTACATCTATACATAATATAGAATATTTTCATATAATGTAAAATATTTATATATATATATATACACATATATTATAAAAGTTAATGTATCTATAACATGTGAGATATTTTATAACTTAAACTGTAATTTAGGGACGTTTAGATACTTTTTAAGTAACAACTAAGACTTAACTGCCATAGCATTTAAATACTGACAATGCATTATGTAAAATGTATTCAAGAGTGCTGCTTAAGCAAGAACTGTACTAATCATTGTAATAAAGGTTTAATACAAAATCCTTATAACTTTTGTATCACCCGTCTTCAAAAATTCATCTATGAGTGGACAACGCGAACTCATGTTCTTTTATTTAAAATTTGTTTCTTGAGATTATATAATTATAACAATTTATTTATAGAAAACAGTATTTTCTAAATGTAATATAAAAAATAAGATAAATATAATATATAATTAATATCAAATTATCAATTACCATTGAATAAATAATTTAAAATTTGACTAAAATTACATAAATTATTAAAATATAATTTTTTTAAAATATATAATAAACTATATCGTTTAAATTAAATTATATAGGATGTTTGGAATTTAAATGTCAAAACTTTTCGGGAGCGTGTAGGGGATTGATAAACTAAGAAAAAAAGTCCTGTAGAGATATATTCGTTTTTACTTCGTTTTGAAGAAAATAGCAAAAAAGACAAAATGTAGTTTTCATTTTTGTACTTTCTCATTACTTATTCATTGTTGTATTTATTTACTTGCTTGATGTAGATATTGTTCAAAATGTTGACCTCTTGTCGCAGAAGAATCCATTGTGATTTGATTCGATTCGTTTTCGAATATGAGAGATTCGAAACCAAATAAGTATGAAATCACACGGTGCAGAATAGAGAATGCGCCATTGAAAATGCGGAGTAGCGCCAACCAATCGACACTACTCCGCATTTGATGTTGCCACCGACGAGATACTATTAAAGACTGTCAACCCTGAGCAAATTTTCGGCGGTATAAAAAGGGCCCGGAGATAATTGAAAAACGCTGACATTATCGACAATTGATATAAATTTGCTATTATTAACAGAAATATATTAAATTTATGATCTTTTATTATATAAATGCTGCATAAATAAGTATGCATACTTTTAATGCTATAATATCTTATACATTGCAAAAAATTACATTTTTTTTCTGCAGTTATCATTTCTATTAATAAGCAAACTCGGATGATAACATTAGAATTACAGTTTTAAATAAAAATTGAGTATTATTAAGTAAACATATGTACATGTCTACGAAACTAATAAATTATCAAATTAGTATCGTATTATTAGATTTTTACTTTTAATCACTTAAATTTTAACAAGCACGCGAACTACCATAAGCGCTGACTGTCTTTAAGTCCGGATCTACAATAGACTTTTAAACCTTAAGCCATAAGAAATGAACGAATCAGATCGATTATTATCCTTGCAGCAACCAATCAGCGAGGTAATTTTTACAGTGACTTTGCTGGTTGGTTACTGCTCTGCTGCTTGAGAGCTGCCGAACAAAATTCCATAAGTATGCATAAGGTGTAAACTTAAGTCGATGAGCCAATCAGAGTACTGCTTTAGATTACGTAATCTAACAGAAATGGAAATAATAATAAACTTTTTCATAACTTCGCAATAAAATGAACTTTAATCAATTGAAACTCGCCTTATAGATGAATTTACTGCTATTTCTATTTCCGTTAGAGTACGTAGATCTAAAGCAGTATCCTGATTGGCTCATCGGCTTAAATTCACGTCTTAAGGTTATTGTTACAGAAATTTTGTTTGCGGCAGCCCTAAGTTTTTTTGTGTGTCGTAACCTTTATTATTACCAGTTCTCGCGCGACAAGCGGTCGTTGTTCAATGCATTCAATCGAATTCGCAATTTCATAACGTTGATAACGTTGTGCCGTTGAAAACGCGGCGGAAATGGCGAGGCATTCGAACGCATGCGTGGCGGCGTCACGGCGGCGCGTCTGTGGCGCACTCTAAAAACAGTCGTGCCGAAGATGGCGACGTGTGAGCGGCGGCGTCCGCGCGGTGTTTAATCGAGGAGCGAGAGAGAGCAAGAGGAAGGTGTATCATGTTGCCGCGGTCGCAGGGTCCGCAGTGTTTCCGTGATCCGCGTTAGGTTTGGTGCAAATGTAAAAGGAATGTCAGAGGCGAAACGGGTGCCCCTGCAAACCCTGGAGTTCCCGGAGCCCCTGGGCCACGCGACGAAGGAGAAAAAGGGGAACATGGGCAAGCAGCTCGCGCCCTCCTTCCGCTTCACGCTCACCCTTCCCGAGTCCAACGAGAAGACATGCCCGGAATTCAACTATGCCCAACTCCTCAAGTCAGCGGAGGTAAGCTATCAAGCGCTTTATCCGCACCCATCACTCCCACAGGGAGGGGAAAACAAAAGACCGTATGTCAAGTCTTGTGTCATACACGCATAAAACATACGGAGAAATGAAAGGGAGCGAAAGAGAGAGACAGAGAGAGAGAGAGAGAAAGAATGTGAGCGTGTGAGTATAAGAAGGGGGAAGGGGGGAATAAAAAAAGAGAGTGAGACACACACACACACACACACACATGCGTATAATGGGCCGCGTGTGGCTATCTATCGACGGGACGTGGACAACGAAAAGGCGCGAGGGATTTCGTCGAGGTGGCTGCCGCGCGATTGTCACGCTGCCCGCGTCGCCGCCGTGCACGCCGGAATTTATCCGGCCGCATGCATACAAGACAAGGAATGGCAGACGACAGACGGCGGAAACGAGACGGGGCGAGAATAATTTCTTGATCGATTCACTGTCCGCCGTGCCGGATCCGCGCTTGTCAACGTCATCGCCGTCTAACATTCAGCCATACGCTGTCAGTCAATCGAGTCAGATTTGCACCTTCAAGGCGAACGCAGTTTCTATCATTCTCTCCGAAGAAACGCGGCGTCCTTTGTGCGCGTCTCTTGTCCCTTCTGCTCGTAAAACGTCTATACGAGAGAGTTGCCATTGCGCGACCGTCCGGCATTTCGTCTCTGTCTTGCCATTTCTCTCTCTCTCTCTCTCTCTCTCTCCCCCCTCCTCCTCCCTCCCTCCCTCTCCATCTTTTTCTCTGTTCTCCTTCGTAAAGAAGGGAAAGAGACACGTATGCGACGGCGGTGTGCCTTATTCGTGTGTGCAGCGTCTATGCAGGTCTATTTCGCCATGTACATTTCGTCCGGCGAGTTTTGCTGTATGTGGGAGAAGGATACGCGGAAAACGCGGTTGGGAAGAGGAAGCGGGAAAGAGAGAGAGAGAGAGAGAGAGAGAGAGACAGAAAAGCGACACATCGTGCGTGAACGTGTGGTCGCGCACGGAGGTCTCTTATTTCACGCGCGCGCGAGAGAGCGTGTTGCGGGACTCTCCTTTCTGAATTGTAGATCGATGCACCGGAGGAGACTCGTGACCGCCGACACGTATCGAATACGCCACTCGAGACGCGTGTCACGCGTTCGCGATTCCATCCTCTCACCTCTGCCACGCGATACAAGTGGATAATTGGTTATAAAATAGATAAATAAGCACCCGATCTAATTTGATGTATCTATTACTTCGATAATTGGCGAATAATCTGCTTCGAGATCCTTTTCGGCGAAAAACGTATAGTAGATACGATACTGATGGCAGAACGCGATACGAATCCACATCCCTAAGAACAAATCGCGTTAAAATTACGTTAAAATTAATCGTAATTGATCGAAAAGTGAAACTTGTTTGAAATTAAACGTTCAAAATAGAAATCTTATGAACAGCAGGGCTTTCAATTGATTAATTTAATATTTAATAATATATCTAATTTCTTTAGAATTAAAGTAATAATTTAATTTATTTAACAACAAATTAATACTCAAATGGATAATTGAGAGTAACAACTGCGTGGGGTAATTTGCTATTATTTAACAATTGTATTTCTGAATTCCTTCGAATTATAACATATTTGGAATTAATTTATTTAGCTGCCATTATTTATTGAAAGTGTATCAGATATATAATTTCTGCACAAAAAAATGATTGGAATTTTATATTTTTTTGAATAAATTTGATAAAAATGAATGCTGTATACATTTGAAATAGTTTAAAAATATCATAATATAAATAATTTATATTTAACAATACATATATTTATAGTTTTAATAAAAATTTTTTCATTTTATTTTAATTGCTTTTTAAAGACACGTTTTTTTTTATTCAGACTCTAAATCATTACTACTTTTTTTTATCACTTTCAAATACAATACAGAAAAAAATTTCAATTTTTTCATATTTTTTTCATATATTTTTTTTAAAATACATGCAATACATTTTTAATAATTATTTTTGGAGCCACTTTGATGTTATCACGATTCTTCGTTCTGTTCTCTTTTTTCGTAAATAAATCGATAATTTATGGATGTTATTGGACAGTCTCGAACATACAATAAAATATTTTATTTTCAAGTGAATGCATGAAATTCGTACGCGAATTACAATATCTGTTGTTGCGCTTTCAATCGCGTTTGTGTCTCGCGAAATAACGAGTAGGACGGAAAGGCGATAAATCGTCTCTGAAACATTTGCACTCGCTCCTACTCTTTTCATTCAGAATGTCTGGATTGCCCCAGCTCTTTCGAACAACGCCGCTTTATTTATTTTCAACGACGGTCACGCTGCGTACAATTTGCAGCTTTGTTTTGATCGCGCACGTGTTTTCGAAAACGTGGCACGAATTCGTCGGCGAATCAAATTTCGAAGTGGCGGCGGCGCGCATTTCGAAAATTTGCAATGTAAAATCGATCGACCGTAAGATATATAGGATTGTTATAATTAAATCAGAAACGGCGTTCGTGAAAATCGAATGTTATTCTCTTCTTGTTTAATACGCAGCTATATTCAGTAAGCTCGTTTCATTTTTTAATGCTCGTGTTCACCCACTACTACTACATATCTCATTATAATATCAGAAGCAAAAAAATACTTGCAGTTATATTTGAATAGAAATTTTCTACGATGAAACAATATTTGCAATTGAGAAAATATAAAATATATCGATAATTATCTTCTTGTTTTAAAGAAAAATTAAATAATATTTATTTCTCTACATACTGATTTAACAATTTGTAGTACCTATGAACATAGTTTATTCCGTTTTTAGTTGTGCATAATTTATTTTCAGATATACACTTTATATATTAATTAAAGAAATAATAAGAGAATTTTTGATATATTTTACAAGTCGGTTTTATCGATTGCTTTATTAAAACATATTTTTATATTAATATATGTTACAAGAATTTTTATTGCGTATTTTCTCGTATCAGATGTCACAATCTGAATCGTGAGACAGATGATAAACAAGCTTTAACTACTCTTTTTTTCGTGCGCCTATTGCTCGCATTCTTCTCTGCTATTCAATTTTATCTGAATTTTTTAATTCATCAAGCGATAAAATCGCGTTACTGGGTTAGCCCCGTATTTTTTTTTTAAATTCCGATAATAACCGCGAGCAGTGAAGCGGTGTGAGAAAAAGCGATACCATGCAGATTCGCGATTATATCTTTTATTATATCTGTCTGATTAATTGAGTAACTAATTGAACGATTAACACGGCCGATTTGATCAAGACGCGTTTGTGCAGAAAAGAAAAAACCAACTGATTCTCGATCGTCAATAACCACGTCGCAGACAGGATCAATCGCTCGATTCGGCGTCTCTTCGACAGGGGAATAGGAGACCGTAGGAGGTGGTTCGTGACGTGGGAAAGAGCGCGAAATCGCAAGGACGACGCTCTGACTGCTTTATGCGCTCCTGATATCCTTGGACATCGCCAGCATCCTTTCCAGTAGTCTGTTCATCCTTTGCAGAGTCGCACATATCGCTTTTGCTTTTACAATTATAAGTGGAAATTAGACTTTTGTTTCTCTCTTCAGTTTTTGTAATCCTTATTCCTGAGAACATGACAATGGTCGGTATGCATAGTCCATTCTTATATTTGAAACTGTCTTAAATACAGTTTAATAGGCTGTCTACAATAAGCCAGTTATATAAGCTTTAAGCCTTAAGCCGTAAGAAATTAACCAATTACAGTCGATTATTCTTCTTACATTCGATTGCGATTGGACAATTTCTTACGGCTTAAAGGTGAGAGTACATTTATGCGTTTTTATGCGACAAATTTATCGAGCCTGTTAATTGGCTATAATATAGAGAGATTTAAGAACTTTTCTGTTTTGTAGCCTTTATTGTACGACAAAAACGGATAAATGAAATATCACCCTGAGACTTCGTTCATTGTAGAAAGCCTATTAAGATGTCATAAGCCAATCAGAGGACTGTATTAATAATACTTAAGACATTACTTGAAACGGTTTTAAAATAGAGATTGACCCAACCAATAATCTTATTTTGGAACAAAAACAAGACTGAATTGTTTTCAATGAATATACTAATATGAATTAAACTACTATGGATTTTTTATTGATTCTTGTATTTCGAAAAAAAAAAACCGTTACAAAAGTCTTCAATTTATAGTGTTCGCTATGTATGTAGAGATATGGTGACTCATGGTTGAATCATCAAATAGACTTTCGTAATTTCTTAATTATCTCCTCAGGAGAAATAGTATAAATACATTTTGCGTGACGCGATAAAAGTTATTTCGTACATACTCTATGTATGAAAAAATAATGCTTTTGAAAGAGATTTTACTGATGATATAAATTTGACTAATATTGATAGTAAAAGGTATCTTATTTTCAACGATACATTTATAATAATATAATAATTATTATTACAGAAATGGATGAAAAATGACATATTTGGTTAAAGCGGATCTCCGTATCTAATAATAAGGTACCCGAGTCGAATAAGGCCCACCTAATTTATTTTATTTTTTTTAATTCTATTTATGGGGATATTGAAATAAATTAAGTGAGAATCAAATCTTTATTTTATTCACTCCCAAAAATAAAATATTTATAGAATATTTGTAAATGAACGAAAACGTTAAACTCTGATATTGGACCTTATTACATGCATATGAATATAAAAAGGCCCAAATCAAAAGTAAATTAAAAATGACAAAAAAGTAAACATTATCTTTCTAAATCAGTTTTAAAATGGTCATAGAAAGGAAATTCCTTAGGACTTACTCTACTCTCAAATATTACAATTATCTTTAATTTTATTTGTAATTAACTCTTCAATTATCTTTAGAAATTTCTAACAATTTAAATGCAATTTTAGCTTCTTAAAAAATAGCAGTATTGAAAATCGTTATTTTTTATAACGCGGCGTAATTCCACATATAACAAATAAATAATAACAGCTATAATAATAATCGCATAAGTGAGTCTTATTTAATAAGTACATTGTTTAAACAAATATTTATATTCATTTAAAAAATGGATTTATTCGTTATTTTCCGTAGCTAGGAAGTTGAATAATATTATAATAAATTGAAACATTATGAGCATTGTATACTGCTAAATTTTGCAGCGGATTATATAAAAATAGTTCATACACACAAGTTTTTGTTGTGTTAAACAAACGTGTTGCTATCGATTTCTATTTTTTAATTCTTTTTTATCTACTTTCTATGACATCTTTTAAGCACATACTGCAGGCGTAAAGCGAGTTTTAAAGTAATAAATTTAAAAGTGGGCCTTATTCAGCTCAGGTACTTTATTCTTTGCGAATTTCTAATTTCAAGTAACTGTGTGCTGATTATTTGTCAGTCTTTAAACAGTCATAGATTGAAACTAGAATAGTAATAAAATTGACAAGCAATTTAATACGAGTATTATTGCTATATATAATATAATAAGTATCTTTAAAATCCTGTAAATAATTTTGCATGATACGATATCGTTATTCTACATGTGAAAAAAATTATGCTTTTAAAATAGATTTTATTGATAAATTGCGAAAAATAATAAATAATATTGCGAGGAATAATAATAATAACTTTTAAACCGGATTCGAGAGCTTATACATGAGCGCGTACAGATACGTGGTTTATTCTCTTTGATCGATCTGAATTTTTTATAAATTAGTGAAAGTGGTGCAGAGAGCGAAGTGAGATAGAAAGCGATTTGATTGTGAATTACTAGGTCGGTTCGCGAATGTGCAACAGAACGTTTTGATGCGTAAATCGAACGATTGTAAATTAATCAATTTATTTTGCAGAAAAAGCGAAGAAAAGAACAAAAGAGGGGAGATGAAAATGCGACCAATGGACTGGATCCATTCGACGATGATGATGATGAGGATAAGCTTAAAGACATGGCGAGACGGTTCGAGGCAAAATATGTATGTTGACGATAAAAAATCTGACCTTTGGAATGAAATTGACAGACGGTAATTATTTCTCGTTGTCTTAGGGAACTTCTACCATGGGAAAAAAAAGGCATAAGTATGATGATTACGTGGACTTGGGCGCAGGATATGACGAAAACGATTCCTTCATCGACAATACTGATGCTGTATGTTAAGTCCTTTTCCGTAAGAAAATATTTTCAAAGATGATATCAATTTTTAATGCAAATATTTTGTCAATAGTATGATGAGATCGTACCCGAAGAGATGACCACGGCGCACGGAGGATTCTATATTAATTGTGGAGCTCTTGAGTTCAGAGCGGCCGATAGACGTTCGTTAGTCCATAATAATAATAATAATAATACTAATAATAATAATAATAATAATAATAGCGATGATGAGGAAAGTAGTGAAAGTAGCGAGGAAGATACCGAAGATGTAGATAGTCCTAATCCTAAAAGAGTAGATAAACGAATCATTAGCTCCTCGGATGACGATGAGACGGAGGATATTACTGGTGATAACCCGCGAAAGGTAATTATTTTTTAAATATACGATATTCGATATAGTTCACTTGATACTACAAATACTTTAAAGCATTTTTTGATTGATTAATTAGTAAAATTTTTTTTTTATTGGTCAATGTAGTACTTTAAAGTATTTGTAGCGTTAAGTAAACTCCATTATTTATTTTGTATATAATACTATATCCATATGTTATTCTATATAATGTAATGCCTGTTACAGAGACGGAAAATCGAGGAAAATAGCGAGAAGAAAGGTAATCACGAGAATAGCAAAAAGAGAAAAAAGCCGCAAAATCATCAAGCGCAAGATGCACAACAACAAAATTCTCAACCAGATTTGGATCTTTTGAGACGGAAGGAAAAGAATGAGACGACAGATGCTGAAGGAGGTACAGGTATATGTCTCACTTTCTATATCATTATTAAGTTATTAAAAATTTTCGATTTTGACACATTATTCATGGAATAATTTTGGTGAGAATAATTTAGCTTCGGAAGATCAAGAGGAGAAGAAAAAGTTTGATAAATCAGAGAAAAATAAAATAAATGAGAAAAAGTTCGATATCAAAAAGTTCGAAAAGAAATCATCAAATAGTAATGGATACGACGCGAAGAAGATAGATCTAAAGAGATTGGACGCTAAAGATAGTAATATTGACGATGCGATAGAGAGCGTTGTTAATGCAGCAGCTAGAGGAATCGAAGACGACTCGAGTCGTGATACGACAGATTCGGGGAAATCCCGTGTTTGCCTTTACGTTGAATCCGACGGCGAGGAAATGGAGAATAAGGAAGCATCTTTGCCTGAGAATCTACCCGAGGATATAAGAGAGATAGTGAATAAATTAAAAGTTCAGGCGGAAAATAGCAAAGATGGCGGCAAAAGCAAGTTTTTCAATAGCGCAGTTAACGAAGTGCTTTTTAAGTAAGTTTGTATTATAAATTGCTTAAATTACAAATTACACAAATTGTGAAAATTATTCTAAGATTCGTTACTTTTTTTATATTACAGTTTAGAGAAGAAACTGCGAATGATGAATTCGCCTAGCATAAGATTACAAACCTATGTACATCTAGTACGGTTTTTACCTTGTAGTAAAATTACTCTTCTCAGCAGAGCTAAAAAACTTTATTTAAAAGATGCAGAACACAGAGTGAATGAACCGATGCAAAAGTAAGATAGTAGCTGTATAATGCATAAGAAATTTATTTTGATATTAATAACATTATGCATAAATTATATCTTTTATATTTTTGTTCTTTGAAAGTTTTCAGTTTGGTAAAGTTTATTAACATTTTACAGATTAAAGACTCTCATCGATAATATTATGCCATCAGTTATGGATAAATATATGAAAGAATGTCAGAAAGTTGCTGATGAAAAGTAAGTAATTTTATTATATATTATAGAATATATTATTAGTGGTTTGGTATGTCGCAGTTTTTATTCTTGATTTTTGGGATAGTTCACTTTCTAATAATAGATTACGTTTTAATTCTATTTATAATAAATTGTTTTATAGTTTTTTTAATGCTATTAAATACAATTGAATTTTAAAAAGTCCAGTTTGCCAGTACATATAAAACTATAGTTTATAATTTCTTAAATATAAACTTATTGTAATTTTTTATTTCTCAGTCCTCAATTATACTGGGAGATATATCGGTACTGTTGGTAAGGCGCCCCTCGTAAGAGGAACCCCTTTCTATTCTCGCCTCTTCGACTGCTCTTTCTCTTTCTCTTATTTCTTCTCTTTTCTACTGTCTTTAATCTTTTTTCTTCTAATCCAGTCATGCTTACATGCTTTTGCTCTCTCAAATTACCAACATTCATACAATCAATTATGTTTACATATAGAAGAAAAGACATTTTATTACTTAGTGTAGTCATTATTCTTCATCTATCACATTACTGAAAAAGCAGAGGAAGATGCGGGGCTTTTTATCATCAGTATCAGTGTTTAGTTCATCACTAGAATCATCTTTTGTGTCAAACAAAAAAACTGCATTTGATGTGGGACACAATTCGATGACTAGGCTATTTGATTATGTACTATATTATTACTAAAAAAGAAATTAAGTTCGCGGAATTCTGTCACAACAAATGCTGATCATCATTTTGTCATCGCGAAATCATGAATCTCATAATATTATCTTGACTAAGATCAGAATGTAATTAACTGATCGATTTCAGGGGTTTTGAGGGATCTCCTGCAGATGCAGAGAGCAGCGATGAAGAAGATGGTTCGTCTAAAAACACGGAAAAGCCAAAAATACCACGAAAACGATTTCCATGGACTGACGAAGCAAAGTTTGTTTGATCAAAAATATATAATTCATGGATAATCTGAATGTGTATTCACGCATATATATGTAAATTCCAATTTTAGAAAACTTGTTCTTGAAATTGCAAACGCCAGGAGACATTATTTCAAAATTCTCAGATCAAGAAAGGAGAGTATGGAATCGTTCGTTGCTTCTTTCATGGATTCGAATGTATTACCATTGTGGCCGCCCGGATACGTACGATTGCAAACCTTGCTAAAATATGCTAGTCCAGTTGAACCCGCGTAAGTAATATATGTTGTTAATATATATTACATTCAATTGTTGATACACTGTCTATAAGCGTTATAAGAAACTTCCGCTATTTGTGCTTTGCTTCGTGCATGAAAGTCCTTTACTATGGTTTTTTCCTATTTTCATCAAAGTGAAAGGAGTGTGTGTCCGAAAATTAGGATCAAGATCCTTGAAGATTGATTTAACTAGTTTCTTTGCAAATCGCGGTCAAGAAATCTGGCGCGTTGACGTCACATGACTACGTTAGGAAGGTTAATTGATCGCTTCATGGTTTGATTATTGTATGTTTTAGGAAGGTGTAATGGATTAATACTGATTTCTACTTCTTCGCTCGAAACATTAACGGATTCCTAGAAAAAAAGTCATATTCTACGAAAGTGATACTCAATTTAATGCATTTATAAATATTAACAAGATTATATGAAATTATGATATTAACTTGTACGCAAATGTTTAATGTTAATGTTAATTTGTCTTTCTCAAATGCTTTTTTTAGTTTCTTGTACATGCAAAAATTGCTTCAATTATTTTAGTTAGCATACACTCTTTGTTATTATTATTAAATGCGCACAGAAAATTTACTTTATATTTTTGTTTCTTACTGTATACAGCTTGCCTTCTTCCTGTCTTATATTTATACATTCCTTTGATGTCAAGTATTCATGTGCTACTCTATATTAATGGATTTTTATGATTTTAGCATTAAGAAGAAGTTGAAGAAATCAAAAGAAATGGTCAATGCAAACAACGTTACCACTTCTACGAATACTCAAGTTTGCAATGTTGCAAAGAATGATGCAACAAACGTAAATAATCTTTTGTCTCAAGAAAACGAGAGGACAAATATGAATGTATCCAAAGTTCAGATCATTGGCGAAAATTCGACGAATTTTGCAAGTCAAGCTACAGCGAAGTCTAACGACGTTAATACCGATAGGAAGCAACATAGTAATAAATATAAAGATATGCATACAGAGAACAATGCGGGCCAACAGCAGGAAAGCGCTACGGTCAACAATTTTACAGTTGGTAAAATTTCTGTAGTACCTACAGCACAACTAATGGCTCAAAAGCCAACTAAGAGTCACGTTGAGAAATTTAATTTCATGGATTTAACAAACAGTTCTTTGTCTATAACACGTGTTGATTATGATAAATTATCGACAAAAATAACTGAAGCGATAAAGGATAGAGTTTCTATTACACCGTGTCCGGAACCTGTGAGCCATTCTAAGACGAACGAAATTTCCCAAACAGGACATCATTCCGTATATAGACAAGATACTTCCTATTCGTCAGCACAAGCCTTGAAACATAGGTTCTTACAGGAAAATGCTGACGTTAAATGCGAAAAGAGATTGGACGACAAGGATGTTGACGCAACGGTTATGAAGACTGAAAAAAAAGAAAAGAAACGAGAGCGATGTGTGGAAGTCAAGCATAAATCGTCGCACGATCAGAAGAAAAGAAAGAAAGATCATAAGATGATTGAGCAACAAATAGGGCCTATTAACCAAGACGTAGTGCCTATGCCACAGCAAACAACCCTCTCGAAGGAAGAACAGGAACAAAGACAAAACGAGGAAACAATTGCTGCAACTAATTTTCTTAGTCAGATCATCAACGATGATTCTTCGCCACGAGGATTAACTGATAAACGGAAAGACGGTTTCATTACAGATGATACTTTAGCGAATGCAGTACAACCAACGGATCAGGAGAAGGATGTCCAGATGGTAATGAGATCGTTGAAGGAATTGCAAGAGTTACAAGAAATGAAATACTCCCCTAATAATTCGCCGGTCGGTGGTACTATACAAAAGCCTGGTAAATCGAATGCGCAATATGTCACTTATCAGGAAGACTATCAGCGATTGTATCTCAAAAAGGAAGATAAAATAAGGTCTAAGGAAGAAGCACAATGGTAGAAAAGACGTATCTTATCGCTGATTTGAAATTTTTTTTCTGGGGACGGTAGTAACGATCAGTTAGTAGCGAAAGATAATAGGCGGATTCTCGATATTTATGTAATTACGTTTCGTTTCGTATGAACAATCGAGCGAAGGCTGACGGAAACTTCTTCCACTTATACAATGCCATTATTGGCGAAGTAAAACGCAGCTATATAGATTTATAGCGATCATACTGTGTATGTCGTGTAAGGATTTTTAAATATTTTCAAACAAAAACCGCCAAATTATGTACATACATTACAAATTTGCTAGCGATAGTTTTGGTTGTATGTGTACAGTATAAGTATATAAATTATAAAATTCTAAGGTATTCAAAAGATGTGGATACACTTAGCGAATGAGTAACGAGCGAACGAGTGAATGTAAAGTTGAATTTATTAGAACTTTCTATATCAATTTTATAATCTAATTGGATATAAATTAAATTTTGTTCGTATTTACTGTGCACGTACATTTTTACAAGATTTAGTAATGAAAATTCATATTCGCTCTCCATTCATCATTTGTTCAGTGTATGCATATCTTAATAAGTATTTGTGTAAATAAGTGAGCAGCGTCCAATCGCTCTGTGAAGTGGGTGGTCTATGAGAATTTTATTTTCATTTATTCGACGAGCCTTCTGTGATTTTTTATTGCGATTTTGTCGATTATTTTGTGATCGACATTTAATATAATTTCGGTCGCTACATACTTGTAACGTTTTGTTTTAATCGTAAACATAAGCATATTAAATGCTCTTTTTTTTTTTTTAATAAATAATATTGGACGAATGGATTATTAGTCCGTAAACCTTTACTTTATATTTTCTTATATTTTTTGACCACCCGTATCACAGAGCGAGAAAAAGATGTCTTGTGTACTGTTCCTCCTTGTGTTTCATTTGTCATTATCACAATGTATGTACGCGAACGAAAAGAAAACAATTCGATATACATTCATTTCTCGAAATTGCATTATTGCCTTCCATAAATATGATTTGTTATAGTATAATTATAATGGATTGGCGATTCGTCATAAATATTTATAAACAGATTGACGATTGCATAGAACAAATTAGAGTGCAAAGCTGTGGTATCGGATATATGCATGATTTCATAGGAGCAAAAAGTCACAATACTTCCATTGTACATTATCTTTGAACCGTCTTTTTTTTTGCTGTAACATCACAATAAAATATCTTCAACGCCTTATAGTGTTGGAGGCGGGAGAGTGCGATTATCACTATATTAGCTCAAGAAGGTACGTGCGAGCATCCGTTGCTTTCTCGACTTGCAAATTTGTGTGGCTTTGTATGTGGCTTGACTGAATAATAGACATGTTAGATAGTGTTTCGAAAGGGGGAGAGTGCGAGAGGTCGTGCGAGAGAGAAAAATGTCTCAGTGAAACGACGAGAGTGCGTGGAAGAGCGAAAGAGCGAAAGAGACAACTAGAATATTTTTGGAACACATAAAGATGACTAGTACTGTATTATATACCGTATACCTTACCCACCCCCGCCCCTTCCCTAACTTACCCCTATGATACTTAGAATACGGATAAAGAACGTCTTGTACAATTCCGCATTGAGAATTTTCACTAAGACGACTTAAAATATAAGTTTTGAATATTTTTTACATAAGCCATACGATTTTTACCCTTCTCTTCTGCGTCATGCGATATGTCGCGTCGTTGGTGGCATCTTTGAGATTTTTTTCTTTTTTCGCCTACGATCCGAAGACGATCCTGAACAAGAACTAACAGTAACATTACATTAATGTTATAATTTCTTCTAGTCAACAATATAATTGTTATGTGGTATGTACATGTTACATAATAAAATTTATATTGTTGAGTGAGAAATTACATGATGTAATATTATTGTCAATTCTGCAGAGATCCATACAGCACAGATTCTAACAATATTATAGCAATGTTCCAATAATATTGCAAAATATTGCAGCAATGTTACTGTATTGCTTCTGTGTTGTATGAAGACTTATTAAGTTTTGAATATACTTTACACAAAAACTATTTCTATTTTCTTCTGTATCATGGGACATATAGCGTTGTTGGTGATAAATTCATGATTTTTCTTTATTTTCTCTCGCCTGCAATTCGTATCGATTTATTGGAAAATACAATACGCGAAAAGATCCAACGCTGTCATGAGTAGTGTATATGACAAGAGTGAGATTTCTGAAATTTTTTTTACCAAATGTTCTCAAAGATTTTATTCTTACTTATATTACGTTAATCTGTCTGACTTACCAGAATTTTGTGGTTGCAAGTTCAAAGTGTTGTCATAAAATATAAAGTGTATCATCGTTAGGTATATGTTGAAAGCGTTCGTACAGATTCGAACAATCCACTCGTATTCGGAATCTAATGGTTTTTTTTCGGACATTTCATCAATTTTTACTCTTGTGTTGTTACATGAATAAGAAAATTACAATTTTACTGATCATTGTTCAACATTTTGGATAGCAACGAATAATGTGTCAGTCTCTTCATTTTTCGATAACGGGATAATTTCAGAATGCGGAATAATGTGAATTTCTATCAATGTAGATAAACTTTAATCTCGGTTTAGTTTATTTTTTATTTTTTATTTTTTTCAGTTCTATGAACAGCAATCCATTAATTTCTGTTAATGTATAAATATAAGTTAACTTTAACATTGGTTTAATTTACTCTTTATCTTTTTCTAACTTTTAGAAAGTTCATTTTATAATTTCAGTTTAACACTGAATTTTCTTTTTATCTTTTTTTTTTATTTTCTCTTTTACCATATGTTTTTTTTTATTTCTTTTACTCCGTACTACATTATTTCAGCAATATCGCAATGATAATGCAACGTTTTCAGAAATATTACAATAAAACTTTTTCCTTTTATCTTTTATTTTTTCTTTATATTCACAGATCAAATTATTCCAATAACTTGCAATGACATTGCAATATTCTAGTAATATTGAAAATGTAGCAATATTGTTACAAGCCTTTGTACTGTATTCTGTATAAGATATTCTTTCTAATTATTTCAATCTACCAGATTATAATATCAGTTTGCACTGGTACAGACGAACATTGGAAAGAGTAAATTAATTAAGTAAATTAAGAGTAAAATCGAGATTAAAAATTGATAGCAATGAGTATAAGGCGATTAAAGAAATCAGGAAATTTATTTCCTCTTTCGCGAAATCGCAATATTTCTAGCAAAGTTTACAGGCGACTGTTTTGGAAACGAGTGTATTATTTTGTGTAAAACGAAAGGCGCTCGCCTCTATTTTGATTATTGATTCAATTTTATCAATTTCCGAGACATCTGGTCGATCTCGTTCCTATTCTCGTTTATCATCGCGGTCTATAAAATCATTTATTCGCGCGCGCGCGCCACATTTGGTCGCATTTCCACGGGAAGTTGAGTGTCTCGTCGCGTAGCGTCGCCACAGTCGCGCGCGCCTCGTGACGTAATGCGCGCAGCGGTCTGAAGTGAGCGGGGGTGGGCGGGAAGGTGGGGAGGAAACGGCGGTCTGATGTGTGACCTTGCAGTGTTTGTAAACAGACACACGTTGCCGTCGCGAAGTGTTACGGACGATCGCCATCGCGAAGAACGAGCCATTCCGAAGGCGCCTATTCGTTTCCGTGGATCGACGAGTGTCGTTCGCAACGCCATGGAAGTGGAGCCAATGTGCATCGTGGAGAATGAGACGGTGAGTGGCACGATTTTTCGGCAATACGTGCGCCTGACAATGTGCTCGCGCGTGACGCAAACCTGTGCCATGGTGAAACAGCTACGGGTCTTGCGTGCGCGCACGGCCGGGGATTACACCACATTGTGCAAAGAGGGCGCGCGTCGGATGGATGTTTCGCGCGTTCTAACGAACGCGATGGCACGCGCGAATTGCAATTATCCCGACATCCCAGTCGCGAATCGATTGAGATCGAGCGAGTATAGGGGAAGCGGGCGAGGGGGGTTGCTGTTTAGCTGATATTTCGTTCATGCGGTCAACCTGGCGCCTGACTTTGCTTGACATTTTTCGCGACAGATGGCGATGTTGTCGCCGCTGTCTCCCGCGCGATGGCGCTGACTTCACATCAGTTGAAATTGAACCGCGCCCGCGATTCAAATCGCCTGCCGTTCGTTTACGGCGCCACAGAGTTGTTGCCTTGGACGGTTGAATTCACATTGATTTTCGAAATTCGCGAACTATCTTGACGAGTATTGCGGATAGAGTGGCGAGCGGATGCGAGTGTTTGATTTTGGTATGTACTTTGCGAATTGTATCGCCATCCGACATCTTGCTTAAACTATGTCAATTTCCAGTGGAAACTTTCCACAGCGAATTGCGTTCTAGATGCTCCGTGATTGTTTGAGAGTAAGTTCTATCCGTGAATTATTATAGCAAGTGTCGTAACACATTGAACATTTCGCGCAATCGTTAATATTAATTTCGTTACGTATTTCAAATTAATCTTATTGAAGTGCAGCAAGTGCGCGATGGATATACGATCGTCACCAGGTGTGCATACACACTTGAATAATTCGTGTTAAATTTAACGCATTTTATGTATCTTAAATGATTCACCCAAATTTTTGTATTAATTTAATATAAAATGAATATGTTAGGAAATAATGCAAATATCATGTAAAAATTAATACAAGAATAACACTGACACAATTTGTAAGTAAATTGCGAAAGTATATTTTTTAAAAATAAAATTAACATTTATAATATATGAAATTTACATATTATATTTATTTATCTTAGAATTTACATTTTAAAATACGTTATTTTTATGTTATTTATTCTTATTATATTTTCTTATTATAAAATGTTACTTCAATACTCAGAAATATTGAATATATATTCGACGCAAAGTTCATAAATAACATAATTACATTATGTTAAATTAATATTTGAATATGTTAAAAATTTTAACAAAGACCAGTTTTCATACAAATACAAAATATTTTTACTGTACATGCATCATACAATTAACTGCGTTGATCGTGTTTTTTTACCCTCCATCGGCAATGTTAGATTTTAAAGGCATATCAATTTTTGTGAATTCGGGTAGATGAATTTAAATTTGTAAAAAACAAACAAAAATGTAATTTAACTTTTTAATGGTGAAAACTTCTTAATACTTTTGCAAATATGTAAGAATTTTTTCAGATTTTTATACAGTCCGAATGCAACATAAAAATCAATACTGAAGTTTGAAGATGGTTCCAGACAAAGGATGAAAAGTTCACATTGCCGGCGAAGGATTAATAGTAATTTAATCATTCACTGAAAGAAACGTTTTTGGTAATATAATTACATGGTAAAGTACTATACAATGTTGTTTTCAAAAACAATTGTTCTTTTTAAAAGTGTACAACTAAAAAAATTAAGTTTTTTTTTAGAAAACAGAGAAGCTATTTTTCAACTAAACAGAAAATTATTGATTAATGAAATATTAGCAAAAAGAATATACTTTTAGATCAGACCTGTCCAATTTGAGCTCCGAAACCAAAATGCAAAATTATCGACGCAAAAAATTTAATGTAAGATTTCAAGGACTATAAAGTATTGATAAGCGTCACTTAGATGTGTATCACCACTTTACATTCTCTGAAATCTTACATTGAATTTTGTTTACGTTTATGGCTTTGTGTTTTGACTCTGGAGCTCAAATTGGACAGGCCTGTCTTAGACACATCATTAAATATATTATTATTTTATATATAATATTATTTTTGTCATTTTCGTTTCACAATTCCTAATAACCATCCCTTTTTTAATTATGACAATTTTATATCTTAGAAAATTATAACAAAATAATAATTCAGCAAAAATACACTGTTGGGAAATTTGTGTTAAATATAACACATTTCAATTTTATCTCGAACGATAAATTCAAATTTTTGTGTTCATTTAACATATATAAGATGAATATGTTAGGAAATAACACAAATAGTATATTATATCAGTATAAAAAAAATAATTATAAAAAAGATAACAGTTTGTAAACAAACTATCAAATATATTTTTTTAATATAATTAACATTTATGATATATTAAATGAACACATATTTCATTTATTTATCTTAGAATTTACGTTTTAAAATAAATTATTTTTATGTTATTTGTTCAAATTTATTCATAAATTATGTCATTTTGACACTAAGAAAAGTTGAATCTAAATTTAACACAAAATCTTTAAATAACATGATTACAGTATAAATATATAATACAGTTAAATTAATATTCGAATATATATATTCAAAAATTCAACATAAATTGTTGAGAAAAATGTGAGTAAACCATTTCTAACACAAATACACAATGTTTTTTTTTTACTGTGTAATATACTTTAACAGTAGCCTACATTTATGTATCTTGATTAGCTGAAATGATTAAATTTATAATACAATTTTTTTTTAAATATTTTGATCATCAAAGCAGTCTTAATTCTAAAAGTTTTCTGTAGAATAGAATTTCCTTTTTGTTTACAGGAACGATACAACTCAAAATGTGTTACTGTTATAGAAAGTACTATAATCTCTTTGAAAATCTTAAGAATACGATACAAGTGCTAGTTGATGGACAGACTGTGAAGTTGAATACTTTTGATGATTGATAGAATAATCTTTATCTAACTTATTCATGATAATGTTTAAAAAAATTTTGTTAATTGTGTCAACTTTTTTTTAATTATGTCATTTTTGATGTTAAGAAACGATATTCTTTTTGGTATATAGAGCTATATAAGTGTAACTATTGTTATTAACATTATAGCAATAAATAACTATAAAATAATAACTATAAAAGTAGAGATCTATAATTATTTTACCATGCAATTATAATTATCATAAATACAAACAAATTTTCTTTTAGTGCTTCTTAACGGTTTATGAAATCATATTAAACCTTATCTATGCGGTAACTCATGAGCCTATATTTTTTTAAATCAGAATTTTGAAATATTTTTTGAACATAAAACTGATCATTCTGATTGTGTTTTGGATATATTAACTCATTTCCTTTTTTCTTTCAAAAATTAAACATACACTTATTTCTAGTGTGGGAAACGAACGGACCTCGGTATCTCGCGATACGATTGATCCGCCATCTTTTCGATATCTCGATACTCGCAGTATCGCATCTCAATAAATTTTAAATCGTAGTTAGTGACAGAATGTCGCATCGTGTACTACAACGTGAGGATTAATTTACAAATCGTTCCGTATGTTTTGTAACTATTACATTCTATAAGAACGAGTTTTGCACAAATACCCATCGTAAGTGTCTTATTGAGGCTCATTATCAGCTTGGCACGCTGTTCATCATAACTAGTCACGTTTTTCTCTGTTGCCGAGCGACAAGCTTTGTCTTCAGTCGCAGCAGCCATTGGTGGAAGGGTTAAGTCATGATTAGACTAGAGATTGAAATTGGATTGAAATTTAATCAATCAAAGCAATAATGAATCTTGCTTTGATTGGTTAAATTTCAAACCAATTTCAATCTCTAGTCTAATCACAGCTTTATGAGCTGGTATTCATAGCCAATTTTTATATTTAAAGTCGACTTAAGTATAATTTTAAGATGTTATAAATCATTCACAGAATCATATTAGCATTTTAAGATATTACTTAGGCTAATATTACATTTGTTTCTAATGGCTGGAGTACAAATACAAAATCTTATATGATTCATAACGCATAATGCATAAAAAAATGAATTAATCAAGGTCTTTTATTTGCTTCCTTTTCATGAAATAAAAGATTGGTTGATTGTTTTTTTATGCTTTATACGTTATGCAAGAACACTCTGTACTCCTGCCTTAAGATAATTAACTATAGGGACGCGCACAATCAAAAAAATAAGAAACAAAAATTTCAAGAAACAAGAAATGAGAACAAGAATTTTAACCTATCAGAAACTGTGTATTCCACAGTTTATAGTTTCTGATAGGTTGAAATTTTTAAACGGGGAGCACAGTTATGCGTTATGCATTTTTGCATAACATATAACATAAGACATAAGAAAATCAATCAATCAGAATCATTTATTTGGAAATGAAGGAAATGGAGGACTTGGATTGTTTCATTTTCTTAAGTATTATATTTATGCGTTGCAAGAGTCTGAGCTCTCTGGTTTAACACGCATTCTACAATAAGCCATTAGTCATAAATCAGAAGTTAGAAGCTGGAAATTGACCAATCACAGTCGTCAATTTCCAACTTCTAACTTCTGATTTATGATTAATGGCTTATTGTACAATAGAATAGCCATAAGGCGACACAAACTTGCATAATACATAACGCATAGTGCATAAGAGAATCAACCAATCAAAGTTCTTCTTTTTCGTGAAGTGGAAGAAAAGGAAAGATTCTGATTGATTGATTCTCTTATGCATTATGCGTTATGCAAAAGTCTGCCCCCCATTTTATTCTCTGTTCCCTATTTTCCTATTCTTTTGATTGTGTGTAGCCCTTATGAATGAATACCGGCCATTAGTCGCGGTCGGCGGCGCGGTACAATTAAAATGGCGGCGCGCCTCCGCGAGGCGCCGCGCGGTGACGCCAGCGTCACTACCGCGCACATCGTTCGCGGGCCGCCGCGGGCGCGATCCACGCGCGTCACGTCCCTGCTTGAGAGCCTTTTGGCCCGTGAACTGCGCAGTTGACAGAGCCCGCACGACGCGTTGCACCGGTGAGTTT